TTGGCAGGAGATTGTCCTAGTGTATGGGAGCTGAACAAGGCCATGTTCCCGATGTTCTCTGACTTTCCATCCCCATCCAAGAAAACCAATGTGAGGTTGTATTGTGTGTGCTGAAGAGCGTCCCCACACCTTGTATGATATGACACAGAGCCCCGCCCACAGCATTCTATAGAAGAAAGCAAGCTCCGCCCTGTGTCCTAACACCTCATTACACCGCACAACAGCGCCCCCCCCACTTGCACACCAGAGAAACACGCATTCTACACACAATACCATGGGCTGTGTGCTGGGAATGAGCCCAATGAGTCCTTACACCCCCTCCCCCATACATACCCATCCTTGGCTTCTCACCCTCCCCCATACATAACCCATTCCCAGACTCTCACCCATCCCCGGCTTCTCCACCCCTCCCACATAACATACCCATCCCCGACATCTCACCCCTCCCCCATACATACCCGTCCTGGCTTCTCACCCCTCCCCCATACATACCCGTCCTTTGCTTCTCACCCCTCCCCCATACATACCCGTCCTTGACTTCTCATCCCCCTCCCCCATACATACCCGTCCTTGGCTTCTCACCCCTCCCCCATACAAACCCATCCTTGGCTTCTCACCCTCCCCACACAAATCCCTCCCATCTTCTCACCCCTCCCCCACACACAACATCCCTCCCATCTTCTCACCCCTCCCCCACACACATCCCTCCCAGCTTCTCACCCCTCCCCCACACACCCCTCCCAGCATTTTTTTTTTTTCCAACCCCTCCCCCATAATCCCCCTCCCAGCTTCTCACCCCACCCCCCACACACCCCCTCCAGCTTCTCACCCCCCCCCACACACCCCCCCCCCCCCTCACCCCTCCCCCCCCACACCCCCCTCCCAGCTTCTCACCCCTCCCCCACACACATCCCTCCCATTTCTCACCCCTCCCCATATACACCCACCACCCCTCTCTGCCAATCCCTCCACTGACCTCCGCTCAGTGTCCTCCACCCCTCTACACACCCAAAGCCCCTCCACTGGCCTCCATTCAGTGTCCCCCACCCCCTCTCTGCCAATCCCTCCACTCAGTGTCCTCCACCCCCCTCTGTCATTCCCTCCACTGGCCTCCACTCAGTGTCCTCCACCCCTCTCTGCCAATCCCTCCACTGGCCTCCATTCAGTGTCCTCCACCCCCCTCTGCCAATCCCTCCACTGGCCTCCTCTCAGTGTCCTCCACCCCTCTCTGCCAATCCCTCCACTGACCTCCACTCAGTGTCCTCCACCCCCCTCTGTCATTCCCTCCACTGACCTCCACTCAGTGTCCTCCACCCCTCTCTGCCAATCCCTCCACTGACCACCACTCAGTGTCCTCCACCCCCTCTCTGCCAATCCCTCCACTGGCCTCCATTCAGTGTCCTCCACCCCTCTCTGCCAATCCCTCCACCGGCCTTCGCTCAGTGTCCTCCACCCCCCTCTGCCATTCCCATCATTGGCCTCCACTAACCCAATGTATAAAATTCAGAATACTAACCACAGCTTACAAAGCCATCCACAACCCCGCCCCCGACTACATCACCAACCTCATCCGCAGATATTGCCCACATCGCCCGCTCCTCCCAAGGCATCTTCCTCTCTGGTTCCCTCATCACCTCCTCCCTCGCTCACCTCCAGAGCCTCTCCCATCCTCTGGAACTCCCTACCCCAGTATGTCCGGTCAGCCCCCACCCTGTCTGCCTTTAGGTGATCTTTGTAAACTCACTTATTCAGGGAAGCCCACCCCCACCCCCACCTAAGAACTGTACTTGTGTCACCTCCACCAGACCATCCCCCACAGCCATCACCTTCTGTACCACCTCCCCCTTCCTCTAGATTGTAAGCTCCACGGGCCGGGCCCTCCTATCCCTTCTGTACTGAAATGTACTGTAATTGTACCGCCCCCCTTATATTGTACAGCGCTGCACAGACTGTTGGCGCCATATCCATCCTGTATAACAACATGGTGGGAGATCGGCCTGAATGTCCTTCCTAGGAGGGAATACCGGAGCCATTCTGAGGCCCATTTAATGGCCGGCAATGAGGAGGAAACCAACACTGAGAAGTAGATGCTGAGATATATATATATATACATGTATACACGCAGATCGTCTATAGCCGGGACAGGAGCCGGGACCAGGAGTAGGAGATCCACCTGACTTACCCGTGTGCTCTGACATGGAGAAGATCCCATGCTGGCCCTATGGTGGCCGTGTGTTCAGGATGGAGACCGACAATCACAGGACCTTCTGGAAGCCGATCTAAAATGGCTGAGAGAAGGAAAGTGTTCCCGGGACAGGAAGTGACACAGACAGGAAGTGACACAGACAGGAAATGTCCTGTGGCGAGAACAACTCGGGCAATACAGCGGGTTGGAACCCATAGTTGGCCATGAAGGGAGACATCCCGGAGGAGGAGTTGACAGCCGAGTTCCTCGCAAACTCTGCCCATAGGCAGGAGATCGACCCAATTGTCTTGATGGTCTGATATATAGCAGCGAAGGAATTGTTCCAGGGCCTGGTTGGAACACTCCGCAGTCCAATGGGGGGGTGGTAGACCGAAGAGAAAGAGAGCTTGATACCCAACTGGGAGCAGAATGCACGCCAGAACCTGGAAACAAACTGGCTCCCACGGTCCGAGACAATCACCTTCGGCAACCCATGCAAGCGAAAGATCTCCCTTGCGAAAATCGTAGCCAGTTCTTGCGCAGTCAGCAATTTCTTGAACGGGACACAATGGCACATCTTGGAGAAACGATCAATGACCATAAGAATGACCGTATGGCCTCAAGACGCAGGGAGGTCTACAGTAAAATCCATGCCCAGGTGTGACCAGGGATGCTCCCCATTGGGAATGGGTTGCAGAAGGCCCAATGGAAGATGCCGAGGAGATTTATTCTGGGCACAGACAGAACATGCCGCTACATATGAGGCGATGTCGGAACGGAGAGATGGCCACCAGAATAAACGAGAAATGACCCAGGACAACTGGTTCCTCCCTGGATGACCGGCAGTCTTGGAATTATGGTAGGTACTCAGCAAGCGGGTGCACAATCCCTCAGGTACAAAACATCTACCAGCCGGTCTCTCAGAGGGAGCATCAGTTTGAGCCACCAAAATCTGCTCCCCAAGGGGAGAAGTCAGGCTGGTACGAATGGCAGCAAGGATCTGATCCGGAGGTATGACCGAGGTCGGCTCAGAGTCCTCCCGAGACAGCTTAGAGTATTGCCGCAACAAGGCATCAGCCCTGACATTCTTGGAGCCAGCAAATAGGAGACCACATAGTTAAAATGGGACAAGAACAAGCCCATCTGGCCTGATGGGGCGTCAACCTCTTACCTTCCGAGAGATACGTCAGGTTCTTGTGGTCAGTGAGAATGAAGACCGGAACCGCAGAACCCTGGAGCAGGTGCCTCCATTCCTTGAGAGCCTGAATAATGGCCAACAACTCCCTGTCTCCAATCTGGTAGTTGCATTCTGCAGAGGAAAGCTTCCTGGAGTAGAACCCACAGGAAAGTAGGGGTCCATCAGGTGACCGACGCTGAGACAAGAGGGCGCCTACTCCCGTCTCAGAAGCATCAACCTCGAGGACAAAAGGCAACCCAGGATTGGGATGAGACAGTATCGGAGCCGAAGTGAAGGCGGATTTCAGAGCTTCAAAAGCTAAGATGGCCTCGGATGACCACTCGGGATTACTACCCTTCATGGACAAATCTGAGAGAGGATTGGCCAGCGTGGAGAAGTTCCTGATAAACTTTCAATAATAGTTGGGGAATCCCAAAAAGCGCTGAATGGACCGAAGACCACTGGAACAAGGGCACTGCAGAACCGCCAAAACTTTCTGAGGGTCCATGGAAAATCCCATGGCGGAAATGATGTCGCCCAAAAAGGCAACCTGGGATCGGTGAAATTCACACTTCTCGAGTTTACAGAAAAGCTTGTTCTCACGTAATTGTTGCAGCCGCTTAACATCCTGAATATGAGACTCCATGTACGCAGAGTAAACCAGGATGTTGTCCAAGTAAACCACCACGCACTGCTGCAACAAGTCACGAAAGATATCATTAATGAACTCCTGAAAGACTGCCGGCACGTTACACAACCCGAAGGGCATAACCAGGGATTCATAGTGGCCGTTTCTGGTGCTGAACGGCGGTCTTCCACTCGTCGCCCTCCTTGATCCGTACGAGGTTGTACGCAGCCCTAAGGTCGAGTTTAGTAAAGACCGTTGCTCCCTTGAGGCGGTCGAACAACTCGGTAATCAACAGAATTGGGTAAGCATTCTTAATCGTGATTCGATTGAGACCCCTAAAATCAATGCAAGGCCTCAACTCACCGCCCTTCTTTTTCACGAAGAAAAAGCCAGCTCCTGCTGGAGAAGTAGACTTGCGAATGTGCCCCCGGGAAAGCTCATCCGCAACGTACTCCTCCATGGCCTGATTATCCGCAACCGAAAGAGGATACACCCTGCCATGTGGAGGAGTGGCACCGGGTTGTAAGGTTATGGCACAATCGTATGGACGATGAGGAGGCAGAGCACCGGCGCACACCTTGTCAAACACGTCCAGGTACTCCCCATAGTCAGTAGGCAACACAGAGTCCGAGGAGGCACACAACACCTTAACTTCCTTAACAGGTCCACGGATGCAACCGGCCCCACACTGTGGAGACCACGAGAGAATCTCAGCCGACTACCAATCAAAGGTCGGATTGTGCTTCTGAAGCCAGGGATATCCCAAAACCACGGAGTAGTGCGGGGAAGAAATTACCTAGAAACAGGCCAACTCCCTGTGAACAGCCCCAATAGCTACTTCAACCAGCAGGGTGTCGTGGGTAACCTGCGGCAGTTGCAGAGGCCTGCCATCTATCGCCTTGAGGACCAATGGAGTAACTCGAGCCTGTAGAGGAACGGAGTACTGAGCAGCAAACTAACTGTCCATAAACAACTCGCCAGCACCAGAGTCTACCAATGCCTGGGCCGTCACCGAGCCTTCCGCCCAAGAGAGGACAACGGTGATTAGCGGTTTATCTTATGGGAAAACCGGGGACAAGGAAACTCCACCCAAGATCTGCCCCCAACAGGATCTCAGGTGCGAGCGTTTCCCGGAAGGACCGGACAGGACTGCCGAAAATGCCCACCGAGACCACAGTGCAGGCAGCGACCCTCCCGATGCCGAAATGCCTGCTCCCCCTCAGAAAGGCGAGCAAACTCCAGCTGCATGGGCTCACCGCCAGACAAGCCATCCCCAGGAGGCGTGGGAGGAGAGGGAGGAATTAGTGGGACAGAAAACGTAGGTGCCAATCTGTTAGGAGGCCTCCGCAGGCACTCCTTAAGTGAAGGCCTCTCCCTGAGCCTGGTGTCAATCAGGATTAGGAAGGAAATGAGTGCTTCGAGCTCCACAGGCAGTTCTTTGGCTGCAATCTCGTCCTTCAACGCATATGAGAGAAAGCAGCCACCAGAGCCTCATTGTTCCAACCCACCTCTGCTGCCAGGGTACAAAATTCTATGGCGTACTCGGCAACGGTTCGTGAACCCTGATGCATGGACATGAGTAGCTTAGCAGCAGAGGCGGAGTGAGCAGGCACATCGAATACCGTACCGTCAGAAGCCAGGAAGGAGTCTTGCCCAAAGCCGAGTCGGTATCCAGGAGAGCAATGAGAAACTAAACAGGAGCTTGCTGCTATGCAACAGACAGGACACAAATGCAATGGACAGCTACAAACAGCAGACTTATATGTGTTAAGCCGCCACCTCTTGAGGGAGGAGCCACAGGGGGCTGAAAGCATAAAGGATCCCACAATGCTTTGCAGACACCTAAGATGGATGCCAGCACATGGAGCAGCACAAGCCCTGAGGAAAGGTAACACCTTGACAGAGATGTCCTGATATTGTGTAGACATGTATAGGTGGGGTGGAGGAGTTTTCATTGTTTAATGCCATGTGATTGCATCCCATTGTTCTATTGTTTGTCTGGCTTGGGAGCAAACTATTATTGGATGTATGTGTTTGTGTGTATTGGTTGGTGGGGGAAGGGGTGTCTCCAGCGGCCCTCCCTCCTGATGGGACTGTCTGCTGGTGTGAAGTTTGAATACCTTTTGTGTCTCTTGTTACTAAATGTAGATTGCCCCGCCCCAGGGTCATTATGCAGGGAGGGGGGGATTGTTCCCCTGAGTGTATATATCTTGTATCTGTGTTCAAATAAAGTAGTCTACCTCCTGGTTTACTTCAGGACTGGTGTCGTCTAGTCTTGTATGATCGGCTGGGTGGTCGGTGTCCGGATGGGGAAGTGGTATTCTGATGGAAGTTTTCAAGCGCAGTCTGGGGTCGGTTCTGTTACAGTTGTGTATGGGGAGGGGTGAGAAGCTAAGGAAGATATGTATGGGGATGGGTAAGAAGCTGGGGGGAGGGGTGAGAAGTTAAAGAGGGATGTGTATGGGGGAGGGGTGAGAAGCCCAGAAGGGATGTGTATGGGGGAGGGGGTGAGAAGCTGGGAAGGGATATATATGGGGAAGGGGTTAAAAGCTGGGAGAGGATATATGTATGGGAGGTTGAGAAGCTTGGAGGGATGTGTATAGGGGAGGGGTGAGAAGCTGAGGAGGGATGTGTATAGGGGAGGGGTGAGAAGCTGGGAGGGATGTGTATATAGGGGAGGGGTGAGAAGCTAGGGAGGGATGTGTATAGGGGAGGGGCGAGAAGCTGGGAGGGATGTGTTATAGGGGAGGGGCGAGAAGCTGAGGAGGGATGTGTATGGGGAGGGGTGAGAAGCTGAGGAGGATGTGTATAGGGGAGGGGGGAGAGAAGCTGAGGAGGGATGTGTATAGGGGGGGCGAGAAGCTGGGGAGGGATGTGTATAGGGGAGGGGTGAGAAGCTGGGAGGGATGTGTATAGGGGAGGGGTGAGAAGCTGAGGAGGGATGTGTGTTAGGGGAGGGGTGAGAAGCTGGGAGGGTGTGTATAGGGGAGGGGTGAGAAGCTGGGAGGGATGTGTATAGGGGAGGGGTGAGAGAAGCTGGGAGGGATGTGTATAGGGGAGGGGTGAGAAGCTGGGGAGGGATGTGTATAGGGGAGGGGTGAGAAAGCTGGGGGGATGTGTATAGGGGAGGGGTGAGAAAGCTAGGGGAGGGGTGGAGGGATGTGTATGGGGGGAGGGTGAGAAGCTGAGGAGGGATGTGTATAGGGGAGGGGTGAGAAGCTGAGGAGGGATGGTGTATAGGGGAGGGTGAGAAGCTGGGAGGGATGTGTATTTAGGGGAGGGGTGAGAAGCTTGGAGGATGTGTATAGGGGAGGGGGTGAGAAGCTGGAGGGATGTGTATAGGGGAGGGGTGAGAAGCTGAGGAGGGATGTGTATAGGGGGAGGGGTGAGAAGCTGAGGAGGGATGTGTATGGGGGAGGGGTGAGAAGCTAGGAGGGATGTGTATAGGGGAGGGGTGAGAAGCTAGGAGGGATGTGTATAGGGGAGGGGTGAGAAGCTGGGGGAGACCTTGTAACACAAACAAGTCACATGACTCCGGGAGGGAAAATGGCTAATTGGGCCCAATTTGGACCTTGTCACTTAGGGGGGGACTCACTTTTGTTGCCTTCGGTTTAGACATGAATGGCGGTGTGTTGAGTTATTTTGAGGGGACAGCAAATTTCCATGTTATACAAGCTGTACACTGACTACGTCACATTGTAACAAAGTGTCATTTCTTCAGTGTTGTCACATGAAAAGAGAGAATCAAATATTTACAAAAATGTGAGGGGGGGGCTCACTTCTGTGAGATACTGTATGTCTCTGGCAGAACTGGCTGGATATTCTGGGTCTTGCTCCCCCCAGGTAAGTCTTCAGAGACTTTACAGGTTTAACTTTTATCCACAAAAAAAGGACCGAAACCAGTTCCATCCTCCTACTAGGTAACTACTTTACAGACCAATACTTGGGGTAGACACGGGGGCCTCATTGATCGGTGTCAGCTATCTATGTATGTACTGGGGGGGGGGGGAGTTACTTGCCGTGTACAGCTGAATTGTTCTAAGTTGTTTCTTCTTTTCTCTGTTCATTTGTTTATAAAAGGTAAAAGTGACACCATAGACAAAGCAAGTTATTGTTCTGTATGATCTGTAACAGTGCCACAACCGCCTATACGTGAGAATGTATGACTCCATTGTCTGGGCTGAATGTTGGGAATACTGTGCGCACTTAGAAACTTTATTAATAAAATCTATTTGATTAAACATTTCTATAATGCTGTACATATGCTTTGTATGTATAAGATACATTTTTAATAATTAACAGAACCTTTATTTAGTCCTTTTATATAGAATTCTGATATTTATTTTTTATGCAGGTGGATGGGTGAACCAAGTTTTCGGTCTTGTTGATCTTCCTGAATACAACTAAGTCACATGGAAACAAGACATATGGGTGTCCTAATTGACTGAAAGTCTTAATTGCAGTTCACTGGAGGATTCACACGGGACACAAGTCAGATCCACGTTCTAAAAGTCATAAAGGTTTTGGATCCTCTTCAACATTGATCCAGCCTCAGAGGACAACAGAGAAGTCTTTTCAGTGTTCTGGATGTGACAATGGAGGCAAAATATATCACTGTAGAGAAGCCATATCAGTGTTCTGATTGTGGCAAAGCTTTTACATCGAAGTCAAACTTTTTCAGACACCAGAGGAATCACACTGGAGAGAAGCCATATCAGTGTTCTGAATGTGAGAAAACTTTTACAGGGAAGTCAGAGCTCATCATACACCAGAGGATTCACACTGGAGAGAAGCCATATCAGTGTTCTGAGCTTTTGTTATCACAAAGCTTTTACAAATGTGAAGTCCTGATCTTATTGCACACCAGAGGATTCACACTGGAGAGAAGCCATATCAGTGTTCTGAATGTGATAAAGCTTTTACACAGAAGAAGTCACATCTTATCAGACACCAGAGGATTCAAACTGGAGAGAAGCCATATCGTGTTTTTGAATGTGACAAAGCTTTTACAGTTAATGCCTGGCTAATCTAACATCAAAGGTTTCACAAATTTCAGCTGCAGAGATGAAAGGGGATATTAAAGTAGTGTCCAGTGTCCCATTAGTTTCACAGCCCCAATGTCACCCCACAAGCTAGAGAAGAAGTGAACAGATAAAATGTTACTCTAAAAAACAAACTGGAATGTAATGACTGAGTGCATTGTGTTTAGTGATTATGTCCATCAGAAACACAACTAGAAGGTCTGTGAATATTTTACCTTTTGACTTTTTTTTAGATAAGCACCAATGACTGAGCTGTTTCCCTCTTGGTTCTCATCTTTATTTTTTAAGGAGCTTTGACTAAACATGTACTGCATTTTCATCATTCACCAACTGAGATGTGTTCCAAATGTTTTTCTTCATTGCCAGATCCTAATACATGACCAACACTGATACATTCAAGCATTATCAATGCTTCCTTTCCATGTTTCATCTCCTCTTATAGATGACAGCTTTGCAGGCAGGTCTGTAGCTTGGACCCATCCAGGGAGAAGTCTCTGGTCAGTGAAAAAGAAACTCCCTAAGCGGCCAGAAGGCTTCCAACACTGATTTTCTGCTGTTTATGGGATGCATTCAACAGTACCATTTAAGTTCAGCTGCCCACTTGTGTTCCATCTGGTTTTGCTGAAAGTCTCAGGGATACCATCAGGTGAAGAATGGATGTCCTTGTTGTCTTCTTCTTCTGTCCAGATATTACTCATCTCCTTAGAATATTAACACAGCACAACTGCAAGAGATCTGAACTTACAAAGTTCTACACGTGCGGTCATATTCCCGCCACTTCTGGGGACTGAAACTCCTCCAATTGGGGTTCAATTTCATGACTATGAAAGGAGGTCTCTCTTTGGGGTAAAGTTTGCAAAGAGCACTTCTTGTCTCTGGAAACGTTAGGACATTGGCAGTACCATGGGTAAAATCAATCATTACATACATTTATTTATTTCAGGTACTTATATAGTGCCGTTAATTTACGCAGCACTTTACATATATATTGTACATTCACTTCAGTCCCTAACCCTCAAGGGGCGTACAATCTAAGGTCCCTAACTTACATTCATACACACACATACCAGGGCCAATTTAGACAGAAGCCAATGAACCTACCAGCATGTCTTTGGAGTGTGGGAGGAAACTGGAGAACCCAGAGGAAACCCATGCAGGCACAGGGACAACATGCAAACTCCAGGCAGGAGGTGCCGTGGCTGGGATTCGAACCAATGACCCTAGTACTGCCAGGCGGAAGTGCTAGCCATTTAGCCACTGTGCTGCCCGTATATGGTGCATTCTGCCATTCGCATAGCAGTTTTTGTTTTTCCTAGTCTCCCCTTGTAACATTATTAGTTGATTTTCCCAGTAGATCGTTTTTTTCTACTTCCTGTAGAAGTCCAAGCATTTTGGCAAAAATGGCAGTTGGAGGGGTTGGGGCAAATCCTATAACACTGCTGGGGGTGCTCACAACTGTCAGTTGTCATTCATATGGGGGGTTGGACCTTATAGAGAACCTGTTGCTGTAACTGCTGTAGAAGCGTTAGCTGAAGTTGGGCTTTACTTGTTGTGTGTCTTATAATCTAACACTTCCCTGTACAGGGTGACAACGCTGCTCTGTAATGTTCCTGCAGAATGACACAGGGCGGGGCAATCTATACTTGGCAACAAGAGACACACACCAACAGACAGACTCATCAGGAGGGCTGCTGGAAACACCCCCCACCAAGCCACTACACAAACACATACATCCCATAATAGTTTGCTCCCAAGCAAGACACACAATAGAACAATGGGACCACATGGCAGTAAACAATGAACAACCCCCACACCAATATTAGAACATTTCACCCTGTACCCCTAACAAGCACAGGGTGACTTACACATAATAGGGATATGAGGAGCTGACACAGGGGTCTCCCCACCCCTCCAAAGAGGGCTGTGTTCCATGGGCCCCCCACCCAAAGTGACTCCTGTCACATGGGGGCTTTAAAATGTGTTTTGTGTTTTTTTTTTTCATTTACAGTGTGTTACTTTACACTTTTCTTTCTCTGAACTTTATTATTGCCATATAGGGGGTTAATAGCCTCACATGTGATAACATATTGCTGGTCACAGATCCTCTTTAATGAAACACAAGAGGTCTATCAGACCCCTAATGTCACCTCTGGTCCCCAAAAAAGATAGTCAAGCACAGATCATGTTTGATCAGCTCCTTGAAGACACGAATGTACATCTGCCAAATCTGTATCTGAGTAGACCATAGAAGCAGCATTAGAAAGAAATGTGAGCATGGCTTCAGTCAGGCGATGGTCCTGGTGGTCATGGTCTTGTTCTCCTTCAGGTCCTCTCACCTTGTAGATGGTGACATGGACTTGTTGTGTGGAATGAGCAGGAGGGGCTCGGGGTTCTCTTGTACCCAATCAGCTTTTTATGGATAAAAGATGAAAGTGTCTTCTGGGAAGTTACAGGGATTTGGATGTTTAGAGGGTTACATAAGTGGGCGGGGCTGGTTTTAACGAGGGGCGTGTCATATGTTAATCCGTTTCTTAGCATAGATGATATAAATGGTATAAATAGATCCTTGAAATGTAAACAATCTATCTCTTTCTTTCTGTTGTTAAAGTGTCACATATATATGATGAATAAAGTTGGATGATATTTTCACCGCACAATACCGTGGTCTGGGTTCTTCTACAACACACCCCCAAAAATGTCCTCTTCCAGTTCTAGGAGTCTGATGGAATGGGACACAAGCTGACGGTATCTCTTAGGCCCCTTGTACATGGGATGTGGGGTGACTCCTTTTTTGCACAGTAGACCCCACAAGGTATTTGCAGAGAGGCATGTTGAGTGCATGGAAGATTTTATGTTTTGCCACAAATGTTATGGAAAATTACAAAAAACACATTTTTTTTTTTACAAAGTTGTCAAAGATGAGATATTTCTCTCACAAGACATGGATATATGTGGAATTACACCCCCAACACACATTCTGCTACTTCTCCTGGGGATACCACATGTGAGAGCATTTTTGGAAGCCTAGCCACGTAAGGGGGTCCAAAATCTAATGACCACCTTCAGGCTTTCAAAGGTCATATTTAGCTTCCTTACTACCTATCCCAGTTTCAAAGTCCTGAATTGCCAGGAAAGTGCAAACACCTCCCAAATGACCCTTTTTTAGAAAGTAAACACCCCAAAGTATTTGATCAGAGGCACGGTATTTTGCAGATCTAATTTTTATCACAAGATTTTGAAAAATGCAAAAAAAAAAATTAAAAATCCTGCCTGGGTTATATAGCTGCAGCAGATGCTGCTCCTCCAATTAGGCATCCACCGGTCCAGCACCGTGCAGAGGGATCATCACATCCAAAGAGGGATCTCCATACAGGTGCACATTAAAGATTAAGCTGTGGGATTGATGAGCCTTTAAACACTTTTTACGGTCCTGCTCATAAGAGCTTACAATCTAAAAGATTATACTTATTTATTTATTTCAGGTACTTCTATAGCGCCGTCCCTAACCCTCAAGGGGTGTACAATCTAAGGTCCCTAACCCTCAAGGGGTGTACAATCTAAGGTCCCTAACCCTCAAGGGGCGTACAATCTAAGGTCCCTAACCCTCAAGGAGTGTACAATCTAAGGTCCCTAACCCTCAAGGGGCGTACAATCTAAGGTCCCTAACCCTCAAGGGGTGTACAATCTAAGGTCCCTAACCCTCAAGGGGTGTACAATCTAAGGTCCCTAACCCTCAAGGGGTGTACAATCTAAGGCCCCTAACCCTCAAGGGGTGTACAATCTAAGGTCCCTAACCCTCAAGAGGCGTACAATCTAAGGTCCCTAACCCTCAAGGGGCGTACAATCTAAGGTCCCTAACCCTCAAGGGGTGTACAATCTAAGGCCCCTAACCCTCAAGGGGTGTACAATCTAAGGTCCCTAACCCTCAAGAGGCGTACAATCTAAGGTCCCTAACCCTCAAGGGGTGTACAATCTAAGGTCCCTAACCCTCAAGGGGTGTACAATCTAAGGTCCCTAACCCTCAAGGGGTACAATCTAAGGTCCCTAACCCTCAAGGGGTGTACAATCTAAGGTCCCTAACCCTCAAGGGGTGTACAATCTAAGGTCCCTAACCCTCAAGGGGTGTACAATCTAAGGTCCCTAACCCTCAAGGGGTGTACAATCTAAGGTCCCTAACCCTCAAGGGGTGTACAATCTAAGTCCCTAACCCTCAAGGGGCGTACAATCTAAAGTCCCTAACCCTCAAGGGGTGTACAATCTAAGGTCTCTAACCCTCAAGGGGCGTACAATCTAAGGCCCCTAACTCACATTCATACATACACATACTAGGGCCAATTAGACAGGAGCCAATTCACCTACTTCTAATGAACTGCTTTCACAGGTTACAGCAGGAAACAAACAGTTATTATAAATCACATAGTAGGCTTATCTATCCACAAAACTGGCTGCAGATCAAAATATCAATATAAAAATACATACGTGCCAAAATATAAACACCTCCCCCCTCCCCAAATCCCCCACACATACATTTCTCATCAGGTTTGTCTGAAAACTGCATTTCATTCTAAATAAATCAAACTTGGAAGAGCAGAGCGATGGACATGTGTTAGGATTACAATGCAAAGATAATAAACACAATCATTGTACAATAACACACAAACACACCTTAGAAGGAAGAACATGCAAAACATTTACAGCCACATCAACACACAGCGTGAGTGTGTGACCTGGGGCAATTCACCACAATATCTCTTCCCCCCCCCCCCCAAACACAGCGTGAGTGTGACCTGGGGCAATTCACCACAATATCTCTTCCCTCCCCCCCCCCAAACACAGCGTGAGTGTGGCCTGGGGGGCAATTCACCACAATATCTCTTCCCCCCCCCCCCCAAACACAGCGTGAGTGTGGCCTGGGGCAATTCACCACAATATCTCCCCCCCCCCCAAACACAGCGTGAGTGTGACCTGGGGCAATTCACCACAATATCTC